CTCCAGGTTACAGTACAAACAAACTGAGATGATGTCGTTTAACTTTTATACGTAAAATCTTGGATGGAGTCATAAATTAGAATGTTCTTGAAGAGTGTAAGAGTTGGTGGAAGAGATTCACAGTCAACTTTACACACCTACGTGTATAATCCGATTAAACTGCTTAAGTAGCAGTAGAGCTCCTCGTGAAAGAGTTCATCCAGGGTAGTACTGCTGCTGCCAAACAGTAGTGTGAGCATTACTGCGTTTCAGCTTTGAAGAGTTAGGGTGCTGGTGAAATTACAGGCACATGGGACTTGTCAACTTATGTCTCAGGGTGACGGGCGCAGTGGCAGTGCCTCTTAGACCTTTGTGATTTAGAGCTCAGAGTGGCACTTGGTATCATATAAAAAACCAAACAAGTACGTATTTAATTACAATAAAATTAAGCATTATTTGAAGAGGAGACCCCCATCTATTTTTATAAAAACAATTTAAATTACATGTACAATTTTTGCAAAATCAATAAAAAGAAACTATGATTTACTATTAATATAGAGAACAATTAATATAAAATGACGGTGTTGTTACCTTCAGAGAAACAAAACAATCAAACAACTGAGCTCTTCGCATTCGCTTTAATATTTATATTTAATATTTAAAAAGTTATTAGAATATTTGAAAATGGAACTCTTTATTTGTAGAATACAATTTGTTTCATCTGACTGTCACTTGTTTTTACATTTTGGCGTCATTTTAGAAATTGGTTATCTACATCACCATGGATTGAACTCGTGAAAATTTTCGTAGTATGATTTTTTACGACTTTAAGTGTAATTTAACAGCTCAGCAGAGCTTCGATCGACTTCAAACTGCTTTTGGCGATGAAGTATCATGCAAGACGACTATTTGTAGCTGGTTTGCAGAATTCAAATGCGGTCGTGTGAATCTCAGTGACGAATTTCGTGATGGTCGCCCGTCCACTGCTGTGAACAACAAAAACATCGATGCTGTGCGCCTTATGATAAAAACGGACAGGCATGTGACATACCATGAGAGTCGGGCATCTTTAGGCATAGGCATGAGTTAAATACAATCAATACTACACAAACATTTGGGTGTGAAAAAGCTGTGCTCTCGGTAAATCCCACACAATATGAATGAGTCTCAAAAAACTGATTGTGTCACTTGATGCAACGCCATGCTTACCAGATTCAACGCAGAGGCGTCAAATTTGGTGTGGAACATAGTAATAGGTAACGAAACATGGATTTATAGTTACAATCCGAAAACAAAGCAGCAATCGAGCGTATGGGTCTTTCGAAATGAGCCGAAATCCATCAAAGTGGCGCGCGTGCAAAGTGTCTTTAAGCGAATGATTGCTTCTTTTTTAAATAAAACTGGACACGTGGCTACTGTTGCTTTGGAGAATCGTTGTACCGTGAATAGTGATTGGTACACGACCATTTGTTTGCCGGAAGTTATTGTCAAACTCCTTAAAAATAACCGTAAACGCCGTATCATCTTGCACCACGATAATGCCAGTTCTCACACGGCCAGACAGATAAATGAATTTTTGAAGGTGAACAACGTTGACTTTATGAGTCATCCCGCGTACAGTCCCGACCTGGCATCTTGTGACTTTTATTTATTTCCAAAAATTAAGAACCAGTTATGCGGTCAACGATTTTCGTCACCTGAAGAGGCTGTCGAAAAGTACGAAAAATAAATTTCAGAGATTGTCGTGGAGGAGTGGCATAAATGTTTTCAAAATTAGTTCATTCGTATGAAAAAGTGCATTACACATTTCTGACCATTTATAGTATTTTTTTCTTATTCATTCCAGAAACTTATAGTGCGCCACACGTATAATGATAAATAAAAAAGGGAATTTAATATTTAGTAGCCTGTCCTCGACTATGGATAACGGCATGGCAGCGGCGCGGCATCGACTCTATTAACTTTTTGCAGTTTTCAAGTGAAATAGAGTTCCATTCTTCTAAAAACAGATCGTACAATTCGTTCATGTTATTACACCGTCTGGTTGCCAATTTCTTTTTGACTTGACACCAAAGATGCTCTACTGGATGAAGACCTGGGCTATTCGGTACCCAGTCACAGGCGTCCTTTAATTTCGGAGACTCGTCGAGCTGTGCTAATGCTGTAGTCGAGGTCTTGCGTTTGGGTATGAAGTATTACGTATCATGCTCTGATCCATGGGGTCCATACAATGGACCCCAAGCTCGTCCATGGTTTAATGCTGATTCTAGTTGTGCTGAAGTTTATAAACAGTCCGTGTACCAAGCTTGGGCAGATGCTCGACTACGCAAAGCTCCGAGTACTCAGAATCCGAAGAAAGTTTTTGATAAAGCCGCCAAGAAGTCAAAAGCGTGTTACGTAGGGCCAAGTTTGACCATGTGCGCCGCGTAGGGGCCAAGCTTGCCTCTTATCCAGCAGGCAGCAAACCCTTTTGATCCCTGGCCAAAGCGGTCGAATCTAACTTCAGTCGCCCATCTTTGCCGCCTTATCTATTGAGGCCGGACGGCTCGCAGGCTCATACTGCGAAAGAGAAGGCGAATCTCTTTGCCTCACTCTTTGCAGAGAGTTCGCGTCTGGATGCCGCAGGGAACCTACCACCTACTTTACCTCAGGTTGGCTGCACTATGGCGCCAGTTCGCATCCGCCAAAAAGAGGTACTTAGAACTCTGCGAAATCTAGACGTGAATAAAGCTAGCGAGCCAGATGGAATTCCAGCAATAGTCCTGCGTAACTGTACGCCTGAGTTGTCTCCTGTTCTCAAACGCCTGTACCGTCTCTCACTTGAGACTGGTGTAGTTCCCAGGTCGAGGAAGCTTGCATACGTGCAACCTGTACCAAAACAAGGAAGTAGAGCTGACCCTGTCAACTATAGACCCATCTCAGTCACTTCCATACTCTGCAAGAGTGTGGAACGTGTACTCAACAACCGTCTTATACCGTACCTTGAAGACAACGACCTAGTCAGTGATCAAATTCCGACTAGGGCGATCTACTGGGGAGCTTCTTGTGTATGTCTGTCACATCTGGAGCGAGGCTATAGAAAAACAAGGCGAAGCACTTGCAGTGTCTTTGGACATTTCTAAAGCCTTTGACAGGGCCTGTCACGCAAGCCTTTTAAGTAAGCTTTCCTCTTATGGGCTTCTGACATTGACCTTGGCAATTAGATCTCGGATTTCTTGAGCGAACGTTCGATTCGAGTGATCTTAGAAGACAACTCTTCCGAACATATGGCGATAGATAGATCGATAGTTCTTCAGGGTTCCGTACGGTCTGCAACTCTCTTTCTGCTGCATATCCGCTCACGCGATACATGCAGCCGTAGACGCAGACCACACCTAGAGGTGTGGTGTTGATTTTATACCGATTTATCGGATATCGAAGTTATAACAGGTAAAAGAACTAATATTAATTGCTATTTCGGTAACTACTCTAGCAAACCATAAAGTTTTTAATGCCTGTCATCTGTCATTTAAAAAAAATTAACAACTTCAAAAATACGTCACGACAATCGTGTGCGTTATTGTTTGGGCTGGTGATTTCGGTGTTTATTAATTGAAAACATACCGTAAGTAGCGTTTATTAAGTTTACCCTGAATATAAATGTTTATAAACTATACTTTAAGGAGTAATTTCATGGTAAACGTTAGAACCACTCAAACGGAATGTTATCATATTTTATCCAAGTACACCCAAAATTTCATTAGTGCTTTTTAAGTGCAAGATTGGCGGTGTATTACTGCATTTTATTTGAGATGTTTTTGTTGGTAGTACGGAGGGTATTTATTTGGCAATGCAGAATAATAATTTTTATTTATAAAAACTTGTATTTAAACTGAATGCTTTTCTAATTTGTGACACCAAATAGCCGCCACTTTGCGGTAGGAAGAGCGCATCGCGTGAGCGGATATATATCAATGATATGTTAATTCCAGGTACCTTTGCATACGCTGATGACAGCACAGTTGTAGATAGGTACTTGACCAATGCAAGGGTCAGTGGAGAGGAAACCCAGCCTTGTCGAGAGTCCATGGTTAGCCGATTAGATTTGACACTCTAGGCCGTCTCCGATTGGGGCAATGCCAATCTTGTCAAATTTAACGCTACCAAAATGCAGGCGTGTCTATTCTCCACAAACCGGAGTCCCTTTCAGCTGACTCTGACTTTTCGTGATATATCCATACCGTAGCCGACTGTCTCCAGTTACTTGGAATGGACCTGTCATCCAATTTGAACTTCGGCAGATACATTGAATCCATGGCCAAAAATGCAGCAAGGCCGCTTGGGATCCTTTCCAGGGTGAGGCGTTACTTTACACCGGGACAGTTGCTTCAGCTGTACCAAGCACAAGTCCGATCGTGCATGTAGTCAGCAATCTGCCACCTTTGGGATGGGTCTGCTACATATCAACTGGCCACTTTGGATTCAATTGACAACCGTGCCAAGAGGCTTATAGGTGACTCGGAATTAGTGGAGGCGACGCTGCAGAGCCTTGAACACCGCCATAAAGTTGCTTGCTTTTCGGCATTTTACAGAATTTATCACGGAGAGTGTGCGATGGAATTACACGATTCAATTCCTCCTTTCCTTTTCCATCACCAGGGGACTAGGCGTAGGCTTGGCTTCCACTCTTATGTTGTGGATATTCCAAAGATTCGCACGAAGCGTTACGCTTCCACATTTATATGGCGAACGGCTAGTTCGTAGAGTTAGTTAGTAGAGTGGAACTCCCTGCCTGCAGATTTGTTCCCTGAACGTTATAACTAGGGTCTTTTCAAGGCGAGAGTGAATATGCATTATTTAGGTGTGCATGCTCCATTGTCGACCTCATCGTCACTTTCCATCAGGTGAGATGAATCTCAAATGCGCACTTATATATTATAAAAAAAAACTACTTGGTACAGTAAACCGCTGTGCTCCAGTTGACACTCCGTAATACCTACAATTTACGTGACAGCACTAAGACCAGTCCGTTAATTTATCTGGCGAATTAAAGTAGTACCTATGTCTTCTTTTTTGTCCTAAACACGTGATCTGAGAGAGCCAATAAATGGCTCCGCGACAATGTCTACTCCACCCTGACCCAGCAATAGGGGCGATGGTCATAGGATCAGCGTTTCAAGTCCACGTGTCCGTGGCGTTGTAGCATCTCAACGGAGAGCGCATGCGCGGGCGCCGTGCGGCGAGACGACCGCGTCACGTGGCTCAGCTGAGTCGTCTGCGGACGCGTGTCGATTCCGCGTGTAGGATGCACCCCGCACACGTGCCCGTTGTAATAGCGGAGAGCATTCATCTGTTGAAAAAAAAAAAAATTAATAGACAATTTTGCCAATCATAAAGATACGGAACGGCAGCCTTCTGATTGTGTTGTTTGTTTTAAGGCAACTGACTGACTGACTTTGTAAAATTTGTCCTTGTCATTATATTCACGTTTCTTTATAAATTTTTAACTTGTAGTATTGAGAAAAAATAAAGAGTGAAACAGACTTTTGAAAGGCCCGCCCAGAAAGTTACCGTTGATATCAACGACGTACCTCCAGAATAAAAAGCGATTATGTTTTTTAGCCAAGCACATGACATGATATTTGTATTTTAATTGTCATGTTTGTCTTTATATTTATGTCATATTTATCTTCTATGGTTTCCAGTGGCGAGGCGACAACATATCGTCGCTTAAATGCTAACGGCCGCATGTCAAAAGTTCACTTTTTTACAGGAAAGGCGATCAAAGTTTCCCATCACATTTTTAAAAATTTTAATATTATTTTACTTTTAAATACCCATGTATTTATACTCAAAAGATGCGTATTTTAAGGCTCTATAAATTTGTAAACACAGACACAACTCGAAAGTGCAGAACGCCAAACAGGCCTTTGCGTAATTCCATTGTTTGTAATCCCAAATCGCTAGGTGTCTTCGTGTAGTAAAGTAAATAAATAAAGTAAAGTTTGACCGTTTTAAACACATTTTTGCAATAAAAAGGTTTTCAGAAGTTTAGCATTTAAGCGACTATGTGGATAATTTGTATTTTGTAAATCTTAACGTTAATAAATAAATAACGCACACACTCAACATAGCCCCGCACTAGGGAAACCCTGTGTCGCGGGTGCGATGGACACACACACATAGACAACCACAAATTACACCCAAACTCACGAGAGAAATAAATGTAGGCCGTACAAACATTTCTCCCGGCTCGGGAATCGAACCTGGGACCTCTGCGTGGCAGTCCGGCATGGTAACCATTCTGCCACTGAGGCAGTTTAAACTGATAATTAATTGAAACTGATAACTAGTGTTACATGTTGTATTATTTGGGTGTTTTTTTTTTAATAAGGCTACGTAAAGAATAAATTATGTAGAAGGTCATGCTAATTCGTAGGTAATTAAAATAGCAGCACTTAGCATTAATATAATAAACTGAAGTAAATTACTTTAAAAACTATCGTTATTTTATGTGTACAAAAAGTTAACCTGCGAATTGAAGTGAACTAGTATCTTGTGTGCTAATAAGTGATGTGGTTAAATGTCGCCAATCGCCTTTTTAACGGGAAAAGAATTTTTTGTAAAAGTAAGTAAAAAGTTAAGGCTTTACCAAGGAAATTTTCACGCCTCGCCAATGATGGTTTCGTTACTTTCAAGTAAATTGTAATCGTGCGATTTTGCTTTTGTTTCTTATTGCAAAAATATAATCCCGTGACCATGAGACCTGTAAAGGGCCCGAAACGTCGGTTTGTTTGAAAAACCAAATATACGCGATTTAAATCCGGAAAAATAGTTTCATTTCCTATGTGTAACAATCGCGAAAACCTAAGAACTGTTGTTATAGCTATTGTCGGTCACCACGCCTTAGAAAACTCATACAACAGCGTATTCGTTTTTTACCTGTATCATACATGCAAGTCTTTTTCCTAGTCAGCATTTTTTTATAATTACTTTAAAAACATGCTGTCACTTAATTTACGAGTTTCATTTAGTTTCATGGAATTTGTTTTTCCCAAGTATTTGATCATCATGTATTTTGATTCACAGGTCTTACCCAAGTCGGGCGTTCAATGACTTAAAATTACAGTCATTACAATTTAATTAAGTAGTAGGTAAGTGGTGTGTAAGATATGGCAATCCATTAATATAAATTATGAAGAGAAGCGAACTCAATACGCTTCCCTGTGGTACCTACTCCTCTTATCTCAACCTATTACATTAATTCAGAATCCAATGATATTATGTTCATAAAACAGGATTAAGGCTTGAACAGTCGCGAATAACTTTGACGATTTGACTTCTAAGCAGTAGTAACAATTTCAAACGTCATCTATCGACCACTCGCTTGTACTTACACAAAATCAAATAAAGATAAGTTGTAAATTAGAATACAGAAGAGTCATGAGTGTTATTTTGCAATCTATGCCTATGTTGTTGTTCCCTCATAGACATTTGAGAATGAATCATCGTAAAAATAAACATTACATAATATTTTAGGGTCAAAATCGCATAGCATAAATAGTGAAAGTATTAGGTAAATCGTGCAATGATTCGATCGTTAGTTGATAGGATCAATTAACAACTAATACTACTATTTTCAATTATAAAAGAGAAGTAGAAAAGAGTAGTAAAATTGAAACAATAGTAGATTGTACAACAAGTGCATAAAAGGCGTAATTGTACCCGAGACGAGTATATCCACCCGAGCCGCACGCGAGGGTGGATACTTAAGTCGAGGGTAAAATGAGTTTTATGAACGACTTATATACGCTACTTTTCACTTCGATTGCGAGAAAATTTAACAGCAATATTACAAATAAATGATAACACTACTATTACCAAGAAAAAATAAGAACTTTCCGCCAATGTACTACTTTTTTTTCTACACGTGACTCAGGTCAAGCTTTTATTTTTATGGATTTCTATTTCTTAAATGTAATATAACACGGATTAAAAAACAAAAGTAAAACTTTATAAAGTTCTAGTGTGCGTGGCTGTTGGCGCAGGCGTCATTGCCTCGATCTTAAACGACGATTTTATTTTATGCACTAGAGCATAAAATCCTATTTTATGCAGCCTACACCCAGCATAAATATATTACGAACTTTAAGAGCATGAGACGTGAAAATACTTTTATTCGCTATATTTTAAATGCATTTAACAAACTTCAATATTGACTAATTAATTATGCGTCATTGAAAGTATCACTGTTATGTATTATTTATTAATTTGTTTTAATACAACATAAAAAAACACTTAGATTAATAAAAAAATAAAAAAGTGATTACGACCAATACGACCAATTTGTTTTTAACTGATGGAAATTCCAACAATAAAAAGTACACAGTACAGTATAACGATACGTGCTTTCGACGAGGTTAAATAAATATACATTAAATAGGTACTTTATTAACTAAATTTTTACCGTTAAGAGGGAGCAGAGGAAAAATGTCTAATCTTCGATTTGATTTTAGACGTAAATCCACTTTAAAGTTAAAAATAAAATATTATTCGAGTGACTATACGATATATTTAAGCACAGACGTTAATCAGAAATATAAAACAATAAAGTTTCCTCGATAGATAAAAATCACGAAATTACCTCTAATTTTCACATTTTTTCGATTTATTCTCGAAATACTACGAGTTATTAGGACAAAAATTAGATAATTAATGACATTTATACATGATCGACTACTGTTGTTACATATTTTTTTTAATCCCTTTAATTTTAGAGTTATTCCGCTAAAACGAATTTGGCACTTACGACATTTTTAATGCGCAAAAGACAACATCTCCTGTCGCATGTCACGGGAACTTCAAGCATATATTTGTTTCACAAATTAGTCACTATCGCTCCGTTGAGTCGAGAGGATGTTGACAAAATTTGTGCCTGAGCTGTTTAATTGTCATCGTAAATTATCAATATTGATGGCTAATTGTCGAAGGTAAGTTTGTGAATTACCTTCTTATATTTAACGGTAAAATAAAAAAATATTATTTCCATGTGCATAAGCTGCGCTTACAACTTACGAATTTTGATTTCATCAGTAATAGGATTGAAAATTCACCGGTGTAAGAGTGAAGGTCGTGCAGACGATTTTAGTTCTTATTATGCCAATCGATTGATATGACGATACCATTTACATGTTTTACGTTACAGATTATAAATATATAATATTTGTAAAAATGACAGTATGATTTTGATCTAATTTATTGTTAGGTTACCTCTGCAAAACTCACACACACAAAATCCAGAAAGGACTTAGTAAAGACAGGGAATAAATATTTGATATCGTTGTTTTTTTATTATGAGAACTGATTTTGATATTCAACAAAATAATTACACGTAATGGTAGGTATTTTAAATTAGAGCAAAATAAATTTATATTGAATAAATAAAATTTTAAATTTAAAGAAATTTAACACATTGATAACATAATTTTTGTCTTTTTGTCTTGGCTAAAATTCTTGAGAGGCTTCTTAATAATAGACTTGTAAATTATATTGTATAGAATCTTCGTCTGTCTACAACACAATACGGTTTCCGGCCAGGAATCTCCACGAGTAATGTTGTACTGGACCTCGTTAATGCGATTGTTACTAATCTTGATAACAAACAAAAGGTCGTAGCTATCTTCCTTGATCTCGCCAAGGCCTTCGATACTATCTCGGTCCTTCTACTAATTAACAAACTTGAAAGGCTTGATATTCGAGGTCTTTAGCTTGATCTTTTCGCAAATATTTTAATAAATTGATTATCTCGTGGGTAGACGACAGTGCGTTAGAATCGGGGATTTAACCAGTACTGAACTACCGATCACATACGGTGTGGCCCAAGGTAGTATTCTTGACTTTATTTTTAGCATATATTAACGACCTCTGTAATATGCAATTAAACAACGGTTCCATCTTTACTTACGCCGACGATACTGCCTTAGTTTTCTATGGCGATGGGAGTCTGCGTTTAACTATGCGCAAGTGGGCTTCAATTTGGTTTCCACGTGGCTTTCTAACAACTTCCTCACCCTCAATGTGCAAAAAACTATGTATCTGATCTGACATTCTCACTTACAAGCCGAGGTCTCCCACTCTCGTCTATAACTGCTCATTCGTGCCCTGCCTCTTCTCAAGACTCCTGTTCCTGTCCATCTTTAGCCCGCACTCACCATTTCAAGTACCTGGGTGTCGAGTTAGATAGCACCCTTACCTTTAGCTATCATATTGACAGTCTTACCCTGAGGTTACGCAAATTCATGTTCATTTTTAAAAATCTCCGCCACGTTGCTGGTGTTTGGGACAGTATGA